GACTTATTTATTTCACTTAGGAGTATATCTTCAATATGTATCCATTTTCCTATGAATGAATCTATTCTCTCGCTCTTTATGGCTGAGTAATATTCCATTTTATAGAAAAACCACATCTTCTTTATCCAGTTTCCAACGGATGGGCAAATAGGTTGTTTCCAAGATTTAGCTATTACAAACTGTGCCGCTATAAACATGGGTGCACATACTTCTCTGTGATATGATTCTTTTAGTTCTCTTGGAAAGATACCCAACAGAGGGATGGCTGGGTCAAATGGAACCTCCAGTCCAAGCTCTTTGAGGTATCTCCATATTGATTTCCATAGTGGTTGCACTAGACACAAAACTTCTTAATGAAAACTTTAGCAAGAAGAATCGAACACTACTGTTTATAAAAAGAATAATACATTAAGACCAAAAATGGCTTATCTCATGAATTGAAGGTTGGCTTAACATTCAAAAATCAAGGTAATTCACCACATTAACAAGCTAAAAAACAAAAAACAAAAAACAAAAAACAAACAAAAAAAAAACCTATCTCAGTAGATGCAAAAAAAAACGTAATAGAGGGCTAGGGATTTAGCTTAGTAGTTCTGCTGCCTGCCTTGCAAGCACAAGGTCCCAAATTCGATCCCCGGTACCCACCCCCAAAAAAGTAATAGGTAATATCTAATTCATTTATAAATCTCTCACCAAAGTAGGAATAAAAAAGAAATGCCTCAACCCAATAAACAGCATCTACAAAAAAATCTACAGTTAACATATTCAAAGGTGAATGATAATAAAAGGATTTAGAAGTCATACAGGTTAGAAAGGAAATTGTCTTTATTAGATTATACATTTGCCTATGTAAAAAAGCTAAAGGAGAGCCGGGCATGGTGGCGCATGCCTTTAATCTCAGCACTCGGAGGCTGAGGCAGGAGGATCACTGTGAGTTCCAAACCAGCCTGGACTACACAGTGAGTTCCAGGTCAGTCTGAACTACATAGTGAGACCCTGTCTCAAAAAAACCAAAAAATAAATAAATAAACAAATAAATAAATAAATAAATAAAAAAGCTAAAGGAATCTTCAAAAAAGCCACTAAAATTGTTAAATAAATTTAGCAAGGTTGCAAGATAAAAAGTCAATATAAAAAGTTATTTAATTGTATTTCTGTATACTGTTAATGAAAATAAAAAATTGACATTTTAAAATATACCATTTACATGGTGTTGGAAAAACTGGATCTCAACCAGCTGAAGATTAAAACAGGACCCTTATCTTTCTCCATGCACTAAATTAAAATCCAAGTGGATTAAAGATCTAAATATTAAAATACTAAACTCGCTGGAAGATAAGTTAGGCAGAACTCTTGAAGACACTGGCATAGGAAAAGATTTTATGAACAAATCCTCAGTAGCACAGGAACTAGCAGAAAGAATCAACAACTGGGATCTCATCTTATTAGAAAGCTTCTGCACTGCAAAAGAAATCATCAACAGAACTAAGAGACAACCTACAATGTGGGAAACAATTTTTACCAGCTGCTCCTCAGACAAAGGACTATTATCTAGAATATATAAAGAACGCAAAACAATCAGCTCCCCCAAATATAAAGACCTGATTAAAAAATGGGCATCTGAAATGAACAGGCATTTCTCAGACAAAGAGGTAAAAACAGCAAGTAAATATATGAAAAAATGTTCCACATCACTGGTCATTCAAGAGATGCAGATGAAAACAACACTGAGATTCCACCTCACCCCACAAAGAATGGCTGCTATCAAGAAATCAACCAATAACAAATGTTGGCGGGGTTGTGGGGAGAAAGGAACCCTTCTCCATTATTGGTGGGAATGCAGACTGGTGCAACCACTATGGAAATCAATATGGAGATACCTCAAAGAGCTGGGACTAGAGCTGGTCCATTTGACCCAGCTATCCCTCTG